AACATTGTAGGAAGTATTATAGAATAGTCCGTTCACTGTAATTCACTCCTGCAAAATGGTATAGTCTAATATCAATATGTGGCATCATCCAGTGCCTGGGGCCATTCCATGAGGGGACTGGGTTGTAGGTTTTCAACAGCATACATCACTTTTCTGTGAGGGTGGAGGGTTCAGACTGCCTCCAGCTACTCAAAGTAATCTCCAGCTTTAAAGGCCCTGTATCTAATGTTGGGAAGGTGACTTTTAACATGTATTCCCCTACAGATTACAGATTACACACCTCAAAATGTAGTTTGTAACATAATCCATTAAATTATTTAAAGTGAGTAACGTAATCTGAATACTTTGGATTACTTGATATTGTCATGCTTTTTAAAATGACATGAATGTATCAAACACATTCTGATAGAGAAATGATTTTTATATGAGATCACTGCTGCCTTCAGTTATATCCACCTACTGTTAAGGGTCATATTATTTAGTCCTGGTTTAGTCCTGGTTTAAGACCTGGTTTTAGACCTGGTTTTAGTCCTAGTTTGGTTTTAGTTTAGTCCTGCTTTAATCCTGCTTTTAGACCTGGTTTAGACCTGGTTTAGTCCTGGTTTAATCTTGGTTTAATCTTGGTTTAGTCCTGGTTTTAGACTTGGTTTAGTCCTGATTTAGTCCTGGTTTAGTCCAAAATGTGAAAACAGGAAAATACCGCCCTGTAATCCATTTATTTCAACAAAGTAACTGTAATCCAATTACCACTCATTGAAACAGTAACTGTAACTGAATACTCATAATTTGTACTCTGATTACTTAATACCGGTACATGTAATCTGTTACTCTCCAACACTGCCTGTATCAGATTTTTTCAATTTTTGTACTGAGCAAACGTTGTCTTTCTGAAGTATAAATATGTAGTAGTATCAGCTCATGAGGTCAAAATGAGTTAGCTGTGTATTGTCTGCATCTAATTATAAAACATTTTATCATCTGATAATCAGGAGGTGCAAAGTGGTGAAAAGCACTTATAAAATCATTGTCGGGATTAATTAAGATGCGTAACAAGTTTAAAATGAACTTGTTTTGTTTGTCAGTGTCTGGATTAAGCGTATCCATCCACCATACACACCAAGGCCAAGTGCTCCATCTCACAGTTCACTTGGACATGGAGAAGTAAATGCAGCCCTCTGACTGTAAGTAATACAATTTAACAATATATTCCAACTCCCAGGAGTGTAAAGAATAACAAAGATGTAAAGCAAAAGAATCTGTGCTCATGTATCTGTAATAATGCTACTGCGGACTACAGCTCTATTGAAATGCAGTTTTTTTTTCTCTCACTAATAACAGAAAAATAACATGTTATATCATGTTACTGAAACAGAAAGTGCGTGTATACCCATGCAGTCAGACAGATGAGTGATCGTTGGGTTTGTATTCTCTTGTTGGTGGATGGAGTAGTGCTGCAGCTCTATTTATTTTATATAAACAGGAAGGGACAACCATCAAGAGCCCTACCATATTTGGTTTCTCACCTTAAAGAGTCCATCGGCTTAGACATAGGCTTAGGGAATGTGCAATACTTAAAACTGCACATAGGCTTAGGGAATGTGCAATAATTAAAACTGCACATAGGCTTAGGGAATGTGCAATAATTAAAACTGCACATAGGCTTAGGGAATGTGCAATACTTAAAACTGCACATAGGCTTAGGGAATGTGCAATAATTAAAACTGCACATAGGCTTAGGGAATGTGCAATACTTAAAACTGCTCATAGGCTTAGGGAATGTGCAATAATTAATAGAATACAAGAATGCAAGGGCTTGCCTGTTAAGAATAATTTAAAGGTCCTGTTGGTGCATCACTCGTGGTCATACTTGGTCTCATATTTATTCTGTTCTATGTTGTTTGTTTATGTGGTGCTTTGTGTTGTGTTGTTTTTGATAAAGCATGTTACCCCCTGTCCCAAGACAAATTTCTCCCATGGGAGACAATAAAGGATTATCTTATCTTATCTTATGCTATTTTCTGATGTTATAATGTTGTTTACTCATCACAGACATAACTAGAGTGTTTTGTTTGTTTCATTCACACATGTTTAACACACAAATCCAACATATTTAGAATGAGTTCTTCTCTCAAATGGAAAACCCTATGTTCCACCTTGTGATGTCATGTGGTATACATACTGTGTTTTCAAACTCCACACACCTTCACTAGAATCACTTGGATGATTTCAGCTCTGGATTTGCTGATCTCTTTTGAACAAAAGGTAAAAGGTAGCTGTTAACTTGAAAACTACCACTTCATGACTGGAAGAGAGAATTTTGAGCTTTGAGATGTAGACAGACTAATAATACAGCATTACTAAAACATGTGAATGAAATAAAACATGACTCGAGTTAAGTTTTTGATATGGGAACATTCTAACATGACTAAAATCACACAATAGAGGCTTTGCACCGTCACATGACCCCTATCGCAACGGTACCTACGCCGCCATGACACCGGGCACACTATGTCATTGACCTCAGCAGCATCGGAGAAACATGGGCAGGGTTTGTTTTGTATTTTGTTGTTCTAGACGCTCTGAAAGGGATAAAATGAATCGTTTCTTCACTGTTCCTCAGGAGCTCAAACAAGGGAATTATGGGAAAAAGACGGGAATTATAGCTAGAGAACATAAACCGCGAAGACATTCCAATGGTACCATCAAGACACACTCACGTCACTTTCATCAAGGTATTTGCTCTTTAAATTGTTTCATAACTTATTTAATGAGAGAAGCACATTTACTGAACTAAAGTTTAAAAAAGAAAACATTTGCAGTGTGAGTGGCAGTAGAAACTGTATCTTCCAACGCACATATAAACATGTCACTCATCGTAGGATCAGTGTTTTCTTCATTGCCTTGCTTATCCACAACTATGTCTTCTAGAATTAATTGCTTTTTGCGATTTTTCAAGGTTCGGCTCGCAGACTCTTCGACTCGTGCTCCATGTTGATCATAGGAGCCCAGTGTGGGTTCGTTGAATCGTAAACTAGTGCAGGTTTTCCTGGTTAAATTAATGAAATTTTTGTTCACTAAATGTGCTTCTTTCATTAAATAAGATATGAAATGATTTAAATAGCAAATACCTTGATGAAACTTCAAGTGTCTTGATGGTACAATAGGAAATCTCTTCGCGGTTTATGTTTTCTAGCTATAATTCGCGTCTTTTTTCGATAATTCCTTTGTTTGAGCTCCTGATGAGTCATTTCCAGAGGAACAGTGAAGAAATGATTCATTTTATCCCTTTCAGAGCATCTAGAACAACCAAATACACAACAAACCCTGCCCATGTTTCTCCGATGCTACTGAAGTCAATGACATAGTGTTGCCCGGTGTCATGGCGGCGTCGGTACCGTTGCTATAGGGGTCACGTGATGGTGCAAAGCCTCTATAGTCAATTTGTCATAAAATTGGATCTTTAAGCTTTAACACTGCACATAAAAGGCAGTGTGGTGCCTATTTAAAGTCCCCAGTGATAAATACTTTAGGTATTACCAGTTACTACTTTAAACATTGACACTAACACCAAAGGGATCCAGTTATAGTAACATATGGTATAAGAAGCCTGCCAAAATTCCTAGTTGTTTTGCTGTCACAACCTTTGATAAAAAGTTGTTGATAACACAACCTAAACATATTAATCACTTCCTCTATACAATGTGACTTTCCCACATTCTTATACTACAGAAGTCCCCTAAGCAAGCACCCTCAATCAATCCCTCATCCATCCCTGCCATCATACATCTATTAAATCTTTACCACAGGGGATGCATGCCATGGTTCCTCCTTATTTCTAAATTAAACTCCATAATGAATTATTGCTGCTGTGTCATAATGGGGAACTGTTTACATTTAATCAATATCCAAATAATTAGTGGAAATTATCTGTTTGCTGACTGTGTAATGAGAGATGAAGCTGGGTGGAATTATACAACACAACCTTTGAGTACACAGGGCTAAGAATAAATGGATATGGAGAGATGTTTTGCACAGGAGAGCAGTGGAAAAAGTGACAGCAGTCCAGGGCAGCAAGACAAGTATTGCAGAGGTATAAAGGAACAGATGTATTGTATAACAGGTAGTAAAGACGTATTATTTATTTGCATGTAAATGAATGCAATCGTAAAGTTGCACTATGTAACTTTTTGGTTAGGGATCCACCGCTATGGAAATGTCACTGCTCTGCTTGGAATGTTCCACAGTATGACATTAAACAGCTCTACCTAATGTTTTTTTTTTTTTTTTTTTCAATTACAGGTGTTTGTGTTGCTCAAAAATACCTAGAAAAGCAGGAATTCTGACTGCGATCGGGGCTGCCTCTCCACAGATCTGTCCTGTAACTAGGTCGGGTTTGATCTCCAAAAGGTAGAAAGGTTCAATACCATACTGTGAAACATTCCAGACAAAGAAATAACATCTCCATGAAGAAAAGCATTTGACAGAATCTCCACCAGAAGAGTTAAGACAATGCACCTTTAAAAATTCAATAGAACAGATCTTTTTACTATGATGTATTGTGCCCTTATCAAAAAGTCTGGCGTGTTGCATTTTCTTTTAATTACACACGTTAATGTAATATATATATTTAGTGCATCACCCACTCCAGAGCTACAAACTCTCACTTCTGGTAGGCGTAAAATGTAATGCATTTAGCTGCATATTTACCTTCACCGGACTCATTCCAAACATTTCAGAGGCCAGAATTCGTACCGATATATGTATTACCTGTTGACCGTTGGTATTTTCCAGACACCTACATCATCTTCAGTTATACAGTATCACATGAAGCTAAAAAAAATCCAGATAATGCACAATATATGACCTTTAAAAGACTTTCCCTAGTTTAAAATATGTAAATTATAATTTGATCTGTGGGTGTCATAGATTATAGCCACATAGCAGACACAAACACAGGTTTTTTTTATATTATTTCATTAGACTTGATCTGTATAGCAGTGTTTAAATGAGGAAAAATAAGTGCAATTTATTTTCGTACCAGTCGGTTTTATTATGTCAATGCACACTTTAGAAGCAAAAAAAGCCTTGGCATCCTGCAAAAAAACCAACATTTGAACAATACAAGTCATTCGCTTGAGCCTGCGTCCTCCAGTCGCCGAATGGACTGCATGTTACATATTATTGCAAAGGGTCACTTTAGTTAAAACTTATCAGCTAAAATAATGGAGCTAAAAATAAACTTTGTGGTTACATAAAATATGGGTCATTTCATTGTTGTATAGTGGAAGATACATTTTCATATGCAAACACACACAATAAAATAAAACAACTGAAATGTGACCCAAAACAAAAAGGTGTACATAACTGAATCAAACTTCTAAGCTAAGGGTACTCAAATCACAAAAGACTAATCATTTGTTGGTTTATTTTAATACTCAAACTATTTGAGGCTGTATCAAAAACTTTGTAAAAAATTAGGAGATTTATTGTTGATCATTTCCAGTGATTATGTAAGATGAGATTTTAATAAAAGTTATCCTGACCACCTGATCAGTAATTTTTGTTGCTTCATTATCCATCTGAGACATTGGCACAAAATAGAACTTGGGTAACTGGAGAGAAGAATTACCTCAGTAGATAAAATAGAAAGTACAAAAATAATATAATATTCCAAAATAAACTGTAGGGCTTTTGTTTCCAAATATGTACATTTTTGGTGTTATTTTGCTACGGTGCGGATCTGGTAACACTAGCCAGTGGCTGCTGTACTGACCCAATCGGTTACACTGTTATATTATTTTTCATGTTTGATATAAGTTTAAAATGTTTTTCCACACTGAAATACACACCTAATAAGTTAGTGAGATAATTTATTTATTTTAACCATATTTATATATTATTAGCCAAGTGAATCAAGTTAACTTACAGACTTGATTGGGTAAGCTCCTGCAGGTTATTTTAGTGAGGCAATCCTTTCCTTCAGGCTTTCCTCCCCTCAAAATGAAGATAATGCTACCTGAAGGTCATCCATATACAATCAACAGAAGAAAAAAAAAGAATCAATAAAACAAACTAATTATTTATTTATTCATTTCTAAAATCATCTTAGGCTACCTTGTTATTCTCATCAATACTAGACATTGTGAATAAAGACCAAAAGAGACAAGTGTTAAAAGGCAAACCATAATGAACTGGGTAAAACACAAGCTTGTTCATTCACCCACACACAGGGCTCCCATTCTTTTGTCTTCGAGAGTTATTTGAGATCAGTGTGAAGCTATTTCTCTATTTTTAGCCAAACTCATCCCTCCTTTATAAAAACATGACATATCGCCTGTAGTAGTCTGATGGCAGTTCAACATCTTCTCAGATTAATAAAAAGCAAGACAAAAGAACAGTTGTTAGGCGAAATGATTCAGTTGAGAAAAAAGGAAAAAAAAAAAAGAAAAAAAAAAAAGATGTGAAACCCTATGACAAAATGATTGTATCCAAACCAGAAAAGTAATCAAATGCTGGGAAGGGAGAGCACACCTCCCCTTTGACCAAAACTGGTCTAGAATCGGAAATCCAATGTGACAAGCAGTTGTTTGTCTTAGGCCACAATAGAAGCCGGGCTACTACTAAAAACAGTAGTCCATCCCAGCCGTTTCAAGCAAACATCCCCTCATTCAGCTGAAAATCCCCACCCAACTCCCTGACTCGCGACCCCTATAGTTATTTTGTACTTTAGCACCTCTTGTCATTCCTCCAAGAAAATGTCCAGACAGACAACACCAGAAAGGAAACCGTCGCAGTTCTTCAGGCATCTGCTCCCTCCACCCTACAACGGGGAGGGATATACAAGTCTTAGGGGGGCACGTAGGGGGGTGGGGATCTGTAGGGGGTCATGTTCTTGGGACGGGAGCCCTTTCCTTCCATGGGTGTAGAGAAGGGAGGAGGAGGCTGGTAGGGGGGTGCATTGGGATCTTCGTCCCGCAAAGCTGTATATTCCCCTAGCAGTTCTTGGTTTAGAGGAGTTGTCTCTGGGGTGGCCATGTTGGGGTATTCAGGGGGTGGTAGTGGGGGCTTTTCTTCTTGGAGAATCAGAGGCATACTTGAAGATGGAGGAGGTTTGGAATCATCCAGTTCATCTGCAAAAATGATAGGCACACCTTTCTTGATGAAGGTAGCCTGGTCCTCAATAGTCAGCTTTCCCTTTCTTTTCTTCCTGTAGCATATCATGGCAATGATACCGGCGATGAGCAAAATGGCTGCTACCACCACTGCAGGGATGACTGTGTGCAAATAGACATCATCTGTGCTTTGGCGGCCTGTTCCCAAAGCGGGTGTGACGGGTGCTGGCTCTGGTATATCGATCTCTCCCGGGGGAATAAAGGAATGTGTTCTGCAGCTGGCTCGGCCCTTCACTGTGACATCCAAAGGTCTGAACTCAGGCTCCATGGCGTAACGGAAGGTCTGAGACGGCCTCCCGTCTGCACTGGCCAGGGTACGGCTCATGGCTATGAGCTGCTCCTTGGGACATGGGTGCTGTGGGAGGCTAGTGTTTGTCCATTCAACAACAATAGATCCTTTGCTTATGTTCCTGATACTCACAGTACTGCTATTACGGTCTCCCAGTGCATATGCCAGCTTCTTGACCAGTAGGATTTTCTTATGAATGTCATTAGTTACAGATTGTGGTTCACCATCAAATCGAGCAGTAAAGATGACTGGAGTTTTGTCATTTGTAGGCCAGCGATTTACACGTACTTCAAAAGCATCAATAGCATTAAGACCACCCTTGTCTGTTGCCTGCATAAAGTATTCATGTTTTCCAATATGTTTGACATCAGGAATGCCATACAGAAGTTGACTGGTGGTATTGAACTGAATCCAGGAACCTTCTCCAACAACCTCATTGTGATTCTGTCTCAGAGACAGGCGTAACTTATCTGTTGTGCCATCTTGATTATCAAAGAAAGTATCTGAAGGAATCTTGACCTCAAAATAGGTACCGACCAGGGCATTTACCTGGTCTATTGGGTTACGCAATTCAGGTTTCTCATTGAAAGGATCTGGGATGACACCTGGAGATTGTGTACTTATTGGCTTAGGAGTAGTAATCTTTGGTTCTTTTGGCACTGGGGTTGTTTTGGGCTTTTTGGGTTTTCTTGTAGTAGTCTTGCGTGTAGGTGGGACAGTAGCAGTGGGTTGCACAAAAGGAGGTCTTGTCAAAGATGGTTCAATAGATATAGAACTGGTGCTGTCCATAACTTTTGTTGGAGGAAGAGGTTCCTGTGTTGGAGTGTGGGCTATAGTGTCACGGAATCTGACGGTGGGTCTGCCTGGGAGAGGGACAGGGCCTCTGGCGGGAGAGGCAGCACTTTCAGTTGGTCCAGCAATAGAAGGTGAGGAGAGAGTTGGGACAATTCTCACAGGAGGGGGCTCCACTGCTGATGTCGGGGGAAGAACAGCAAGAACAGGTGTTGGAGTGTTGTATAATTGCCTCCTCACACGTTTGGGGATATGTGGTTTCTTGTTGGCAATGTGCCAGCCTACAACTGGGTAGCCAAGTTTAGCTGACATTGTTCCCTCTTTTGCAGGGCCCTGGACACTGTCGATGTTTGGGACACTGCTTTGGTCCAATGAGCAACCAAGTTTCCAGGACAACAGGGCTCCATTCTCCACAACCTGAAGAAAAACAAAAAAAACAAAAAAAAAGAGAAAAATTTCATTTAAAAGGTAGACCACCAACTGTGTCATTTGGGTTAATGAGTATGCAGCAGAAATATTACTCACCTTCTTGGCATTACCAGGACCAGCCATGAATGCAGTCATGTCAAACAGTCTGTTGTTGACAACTGGGAGCATCTTCATGTGCTGAAGTTCCACTCCTGAGAATTTCCTCATATTGTTCAGCAGGGCCACTCTCTCTGCCGAGTTCATTTTGGTCAGATCAGCATCAAGAATGACTGTCAGGACTGTAACAGGATCCTCATTGTTACACGAGAATGGTTGGACTTCCTCTTGCCCGGAAGCTTGAGTGGATGCTACTTGGATTGATTCAATGTCCATATGGTCTTCTGGATGTACCACAATGGAGAACACCTCTGATGAAGAAGAGGACTGTTTGTTGTCTGCGATGGACACAGAGATGTAATGGACTCCTTTGTCTTCCTCCAGTGGCAAACCCTGCAGGATTCTGTTGGGGGCATCCCAGTGCAGCCAATCAGGCAGGGACTCCTTACCCATCTCAGTGATCTGCAGGGAAAACACATTATTATTATTATTATTATTGTAATTAGAAAATTAGCAAGTTATTATCATATAATTATCACCAGTACAAAATACATCATTAAATATACCGGCCCATAAATGTCTTGAAAATTGAATCACTGCAAAACATATGACTGGGGACATCCCTTTAATGCACGGGTGACAGAACGAGAGAGAAATAGATCAAATAGGAGTGACAATGACTGTCCATACATAAATTCAAAATAAAGAACCAATACAAGCTGCGCTCCTCAGAACCTATGAGTTAATTTTGCGACTAATAAATCCTTGTTGATAAATTATGCAAGGCCATGTTCCCTAGACACATCATTAATGCTCTAACTAGCATGTGAGGCAGAGCTGGGGGAAACATAAACACTGACACTAATGCACACAATACAAAAAACACATGCATTCAAGCAACCTACAAAAAATAAATAAATACATACATAATGTAAAGACACAATAGTGTCTAGTGTTTACTATGTAGTATGTAGGTATTCAAAAAGTAAACAACAAGCAAAGTAAAATAAGAATGATTCATTTTTATTGGACTGATTTTGGTTAGTTAGATCTGGGCGAGATTCAGACTTGTCCGAGTTCTGGCCCTACATGTTTTAGTGCTGGGGAAATGCCTGCTCAACACTGAATATAATGGACAATTATAGATATACAATTTTGGCTAGAAAGCACTTCCAATTATTATTTAACACTTTTTCAATGTTCCCAAGAGCAGTGTACCAAAAAGGCATGCTATCTGAGTTTTGCAGAAGGTCAGGGCTTCAACTTCTCAGCTGCGGTAATAAAAATAAATACATAAATAAATAAAAAATAGACATATTACCAATGCAAATTTACAGTGGCATAAGAGTTTTCAGGCAGTAAGAAGTGATGTGTGACTTAAAAATAATTACTATTCTTCAAGTAGCCCAATCTTTATGCCTTGTTATATAATACTTGTATTAATTCTACAGTTTGTTTCTCTTTATTCTTTCTCCCCATGTCACCTAATCCCTCCTCCACAACACGGAGCCTTTAGTTCTGCTGCCACTGCTTTGAAATGTCATTATCAGAATATGACAGGCTTTTTTTACACGTAGATAAAAGCTTATTTCTGGTTTTAGTGCTGTCAGTGAGATATCTAATTCTTTGCTCAGAATATTAAATCCACGTTTGAAAATAATTACCGCATCATTTACAATCAACTAAGTAAGTGATAAGAAATGATCAAAAACATGCACCAGTGCCTCTTCCGGCATTTAGACAGAGTGGTTATTGCATACAATTTTCCATCTAATATGCAAACAATGTGCAACTATAAAGTGATGATTTAACACTCAGTACATATTTTTTATTTATTTGTTAGTACATGCGTCATTGCTCTCACACACTGAATAGTCTGCCTCTTGACATAGCAAATTAAATCAGAGAAGGCACAATAAAAGGACACGTAGGTTGCCAGGCAGTAATCTCATAATAAATTATCTAATTGCCTGGTAAATTACCAAAGGGTATCTGGAACACACAAGGAGGATGACTTAATGGGTGATCTGCAGTTATTCTGCCAGTTAAACATGAGTGGGGGACAAGGGTAGGTAATATTTTTATTGTTTTGAATTTGTCTGAGATCTCGGTCAGCAAAAGGTGAAACTACATGCCATACATGTTGGGGACAATAAGTTGATTTGTGTTAATGTGCCATTGTAACAGAATGAAAGAGTTCATTTTACAAGACTGTGTGAACCATTATTTCCTCATAGAGAAATGCACACATTTTGAAGAAGCGTATTATGCCTTTTTCTTTGGTCCAGACTCAAGGAAAAACATCAATAATTGGGAATATCTCTACCAAGTTCAAAATGGTTGGTGCTTGTGTGCTCTGAGTTTACGCAGATTCCAAAATATTAATTATTTCTCTTGCATTTCTCCCAAAAGAATATGATAAAATACAATACAACACTCATTAGCCAGGTATTCCCGACAATCCCCACTCTACTACAGGCGAGTTTCAGCTGACGTCATTGTTATTAAAAGCCCGCTTTGCATGCTGGGAAATATTTTGGTCGGAGGCAAGAAACAGGATAGTGGTCAAACACAGTGCGTAACCTCGCGTATTTATCCCCGATAATGGTAAATTCCTGCTGCATTATCAGATGCACAAATAGAAGCACGGAAGAAGGAAAATGTCTTTTTCGTATTCTGAGTGAAAAGAACCACTAACGGTGAATTAAACGACTTTCAAACATTCACAGAGCAAACGCAGAAGATCCTAGCAAACCGTGGACTCAACAAGTTCAACAACACATCGAGACTCTTGGAGGTTTTCGTCTTTTCTGCTGTGAATGGCCCAGGAGTTTCCACCAAGTCACTGTGGATATCGCCAAAGTGAATATTTGTCCAAGTAGTTGGTGATTCTAACCAGAAATTTGGTTTGGTCCACCTTTTGTCGGGGTTGAAAAGGGTGATTTGACTCCATCGATGCTTATGACCAATTTCTGGTCAAATGGTCTTGGGTCCTCTGCCGTTAGAGTGGATAAATAACCGGGATCAATGCCCTTTACGTGCTTTCTCGCTCCGTCCGTCATGTTGAATTAATGTTTCTTGCCTCCGACCAAAATAATTCCCAGCATGCAACGTGAGCTTTTGTCAACAACGAAACTCGCCTATAACACATTCTTTTCTACTGCCACAAACTATAACTATAAAAAGGTTGGTACACACTGAACACATGAAACAGCAGACAAAAAGGAAAACTATACTTTCAAGTAAAGATTTGGATTGACAAAAAAGCGTAAATCTTCCTCTTAATAGCTTATTCAACAACTTTCTGATAAGAAATGGGATGATTATTGTGACCTAAAAATCAGAGATGACTTGATTTGCCTTTTTATTTAAGAGGCCATGTACAAAAAACGTCAATATGACTTGTCCACTCGAAAATGAGGTTTGAAGATATAAAGAATAACCCAAGAGGTCCATGCTAAAGCTGTCACAGAGTCTGCCCCTGCAACCAAAGACAGCTAATTAAAACACAAAGAAATGATCATCTCATCAAAGTAAAAACCCGTTTGATCATCTTTTAACAGCAGCGCTCACATAATTGCAAAGGCACCATGACTATCAGACGCCTGAGCCACTGTGATGGGTGCAAACCAGCATGTTTTTATGAGCGACAAGCATGAAATATTATGTGACATTATCGCACATCACTGGCCTCATCCTTATTTTACTCTGCATCGCCGCTCTGCCGCCTCAGCTTTTCTGTACTTTAGAGTTACAGTGCCCGATAGAAGAAGAGGGGGGATCTGCAATTTTAAGTTATGCAAGAAAAATAATGTGATCGCGCACTTGGCTTTTGAGGGATTTCTGTTGATTGAGGGATTTTTTTGTGTGCTGAGATTCTATTGTCTATAAAAAGATGTGCTGAATTTTGGTCCAATTTCCTCTCAAAATAGGTTCTGGCAGAATTTGGCAAAAGATCTGAAGAAATTGTCCCGAACAATTTATAGTTTGGCCAAAAAATACAAAAATCCTTCACTAAAAAAAATTATTAAAAGGTTCATTACATTTTCTGGTCTGGTCCGCTACCTGCTTGTCTCCATGGAGATGTTACTGCTTTGGAATGTTCCATGGTATAACATTAAACATATCTATCTAGCACTTATTCATTACAGGAGTTTCTATTGCTCAAAAATACTGTAATGTAGCTTAGTGCTGTAACCTGATTGTCTAGAACACAGGTGTCAAACATACAGCCCGGGGGCCAAATCCGGCCCTCCAAGACCTTTAATGTGGCCCTCGGCTGATTTTCTACTAAAATACTTTAATTATATTTTCTATTAAAATATTGTTAATTTTCTGTGGTGTTTATCACAGCAGCGTCTCCAGAGCCTCTGTACGTGGCCCCTCCCACCAGAGCAGCACAAATGAAGACTTGTCTCTTTCCAAACGCTCTTAAAGGACGATCGTTTTGACTGTTGACCGTGACACCCTCATCAGAAAAATGTCCAACATGAGAAAAGTGGAGCCGAGTGCAGGATTTTACAAGAAAAATTGAATTCCTATTTGCATACAAGTTCATGTTAAAACATTGTGTTGAAATTGTATTTTTCTTAAAGTTTCAGGTTGTTCATAATATTATAATATTTTGTAAAAGAAAGAGTTCATCAATTAAAAAAGATTTCTGTAATAGATTTGTGTTTCTCTGCACAAATATTTGAATTTATTGTTATTTTTGGGGTTTATATGACATGAGTTTTCTGATCCGGCCCCTTTGGGATCAAAATAAGTTGGATACAGGCCCCTGGAACAAAATGAGGTTGTTAAGTTTTGTTTCTGTGAGAGTTGCGCAAAACTGAATTAAACACATTATAATGTCAAACGGGCTGATGTGGCTCTAGAGTCGTTAGGGTTTATATGTCGTAAAGTTGAATTTATTTCTGCAGATTAGTAGTGCAGATAGTAATAATAATGATGATCATTTTAATATAAAAACATTAATGATTAATCGATAATCAATCGTTAATTCTTCCGACGATTGATTAAGAAAATTTCATCGAATGCCCATCCCTAGTATAGCTTAAACCCATGTATGAAGTGGGAGACAAAGCAACAACATTTCCATGGAGACAAGCAGGTGGCGGACCCTCCACTAGAAATATTTCACAGTGCACCTTCAGGCTACTGTATGCCAAGAAATACCTTCTGAAATAAGCTGAAATATTTTTTTCCATTTGTTCTCTTGTAGAAAACTCTGACACGAAATCAGCCGTGGTTTATTCACAGCAACGCAACTTTGACAGAATCCATCTATTTATCGCCAGTTTCAAATATGCTCCCAGTGCACTGAACACGCCTGACCTTGCACTTCTCAACCCATTCGAGTGCCTCCGCTTTACCCACCATGACACTTTGCACTGGCACTTGTTTCTCCCCCAGGGCTTTGCGATGTAAAAGCTGTTTTGTAAAAGAAAAAAAAAAGAAAA